AAGTTATGACCAAACTCACAGTGTTTACAAAAATTAAAAGCTTCAGATTCGAAAGAAATAGCCCAAGTCACTGCATTTCATTTCTTTCAGGGGGCAGCTATCTGGCCAAGTTATTTGGTGGTTGATACGCAGTACTGAGGCCAATATGTAACCCTTCCCCTCCTGCCGCCCCCCAGGAAATGACTTGAGTTCACTCCATCGCCCCCACAAGTGGCTGTTTTATTTTTCAGGCCCAGTTGTTTGGAAGCCAGTGTCTGGCACTGAGGCCAACATATAAATGCTGCACAGATGCGATGTTTTGTGATTTACGGTTTTATACCATCTTCCCTCAGAGAATCCTTGAACCCAGACAGATTCGTTCAGAATGTCTCCTGATATAGCATAACATGCTCTCATTCAGTCAATATAATCTGTGCAGGAATTTTCTTTGGTTTTCCTGAAATAGGCTCAGGTAAGAATGGAAAAAAAGAAATCAGTGTGTTGTTTGAGCGGATCTGAATTTCTCTCCACACAGGCTGATCAGCGGTCGGCGGCGCTGGAAAACCTGGAGATCAAGCTAATCAAGAACAAGCAGCGCATGCTGGGCAACATCCGCTTCATCGGTGAGCTCTTCAAGCTCCAGATGCTGATCGAGCAGATCATGCACGACTGCATCTTCAAGCTGCTCTGCAACAAGGACGACGAGTCGCTGGAGTGCATGAGCCACCTCATGAGCACCATCGGCAAGATCCTGGACCACGAGAAGGCCAAGGTGGGTGGAGCGCTGGGATTGGTGGGGAGGCAGGGTAAGGCTTGAGCGGCTGGCATTGGCCCGTGGAGAATGGAGGCACTGATATTGGTGTTTGGGTGCTTGAATGACTTTGAGAGCACTGTGATGGGTATGGTTCCTGGACAATGAGAAATCCGACCTGGCTGGAGCCCTGGGTTTACAGGGGAGGTGAGGTTTGGGTGAACGGTTGACATTGGTTGGTTGGGGCAAGGAAGCATAGATGTTAGGGTGCATTAGTTACTTCGTGTCCCCGGCAAAGAGAAGTTGACTGTTAGTGGAGCTCTTATTTTGTGGGCGAGGTGGGTTTTGGGCATATGGTTGGGGAATGAATGCTGTGATCGAATGTTTGGGTGCTTCAGCTGTTTAGTGCCATTGGTTGTATCTTGACCACAAGGAGGCCAAGGTGGGTGGACTTCTGCTTCCTTGGGAGCATGGAGTTTATTTGAAGGGCTGGGCTTAATTTGCTGGGGGATGGAAGGGAAAGCAAGTTGCTTGGGTACACAAGCCATCTGAGGAACACTGTTGGTTAGGTGCTAGACTAGGAAAAGGCCAAAGTGGGTGGAGCTCTGGGTTCTCTGGGCAAGGGGGAGGTGAATGGGCAAATAAGCCCTTTGCAAGTTAAATATGAATACAATCTGCTACACTGAGTAATCTGATTGTACATAAACATAATGATTTGAATTCCCCCGACTAAAGACACTGTTGCTATACCTCGTGATTCGGGGCAAGCTTTTGCATAGCGACCATCACCTCTGGAATGGACAGGTTCCTTTGTACCCTTCTTATCCAGCAACAGTGTCTTTAGTATGGAGAATTCAAAAGAATTCTCACAGAGTTCACATAAATTTAAAGGACTCAGTGTACCAGGTTTAATCAAAGTTATCTCGCAAGAGGCTTATTGGCAACTTGGGCATTATAAGAGGGGTGTGTAATGGCGGGACCTCGAATGTCGGTCTAGCCCCCAACACCAACTCTGTAGTGTGGATGTAAGTATGTTTGCAAGCCAGCGGTGCCTGTCTGTTTGAAACTTCACCTTTATAGCGCTTTCTAAACTCCCCCCCCCCAGAACCGTATGGATCAGTACTTCAACCAGATCAAGAACCTCACTGCCAATAAGAAGACGTCAGCCAGAATCCGCTTCATGCTGCAGGACATCACGGACCTACGAGCGGTGAGTGGGCAGCCCTTGAATCGCTTCTGAGCAGTCAGGTGGCCTGCACATGGCTGCTCGCCTAGCGTGTGCCTTTAGTACAGGGTTCAAGGACTCGGTGAAACGGGGCCAGTGATTTTGTTGTTGATCGTGCAGCATCGACATCAGTACAGACCTGCTAACCTAGCCGTACTCCTTCCTGACGTCAGGCATTACCACACAAGAGATTAAAAGTTATTTAAATGAGCCGTCAGTTCATTTAAATTTTTAATCTATTGTGTGGTAATGTCTGACCTCTGGAAGGAGTACGGCATGTTGGCAGGTCTGCATGTGTGTCACGCATGTTCTATAACTTGCAAGAACCAACCACAGGGTTCATAATCATTTTTGGAACCGTTGGCCGGTTCCAGTTAATGGCCCCTCCCTCTTCACCCCCTCTTTCTTCTCACAGAGGAACTGGGTGCCCAGACGGGCCAACGACAACCCCAAGACCATCGAGCAGATCCGGGAGGACTTCAAGCGGGAGGAGGAGCGGAAGAAGATGGAGGGCATCGCCCAGATGCAGGCCAACCAGCCCCCCAGGCTGTCCCGCAATAAGCGGGACCAGCCTCAGCGGGTGGGACCGCCCCCACCCGAGGGCTGGAACACGGTGGCCTCCACCAAGGCCGCCCGGGTGTCGGTGGACCCCAACAAGTTCCGGGTGACCAAGGTACGACGTGGTTGGGCGTTGGGTGCCCACGGTCACGGAGAATCCTGAAAAATCTTGGAAAAGTCCAGAGGAAAAAGTCACGGAAAAGTCGGATGTTATAATTATTATTATGATATTTTTACCGGATATCCTTGTTTGTCTGTAGTAATGCCTCTTGCTGTCTTCCAGTTCATAATACCTGACAACTTTTCTCTTCAAAGTGGTGCAAAATATCGTGGAAACTGCCATATTTAGTTTGAGGAGAGCCTTTGAATTTGCTCTTTAGATTCCTGTTTGAACCACAAAAATGGCTGAAATAACAAAGTAAGTTTCCTTTCTTGTGTGTTGGTGTGATATGGGCTTTGTGCTTGATCTTTCAAAGGCACTGTTTCCTGCCTTTACAGGATTTGCCATCCGAGGCTGGTGTCGGGCTCGGTCTTAGAATGGCCTCAGAATCAGCTGTTTGCAGGGCACTTGTGCAGAAAAGCCCAGCAACTTCTGGTGCCCGTGCAAACCCTCGTTTCAGAGCCTCAAAAAATTGATCTGCTTGAATCCTACCTCCCCTTTCTTCTTTGCCTCCTCAGCAGCAAAGCATAGACGACGACATCCAGCTGGGGCCTGGCCGCCAGACTTTCGGTGGCTGGAGCCGGGGCAGCAGCGGAGGGAGTTCCAAGGCCCAGCCCAACCAGGAGCAGCCTGAGCCCAGGCAGAGCAACCGCTTCATGATGCTGTCGGAGGAGAAGCGTGGAAGGTGAGAGGAGATTCCCACAGCCCTTTTCTTGCTCCTGATGCTCAGAAATGATTTTTCAAACCTGTATTCCTGCCCAACGGAATTCGCTCGGCATGCTGGGTTGGTGGAATGCACAGCATAGCCTCAATTTGGCCGACAATCCTCAAACTCTTTCTGACAAACAGTGAAGAAATGGGTTATATCTCTGTGCACTCTCAAACATTGCTCTGTCGAAGGCTTAACCCAAAACCAACAGACTTTTTGCGTGAAGCTTATGACTGCTTCGAATCCTCGTTTCTTGAGCCCTTCGTATGCAACAGTAAAATTCATTTTTGTTTTAATTCCAGTGATTCCCTGAATTAACCAAGGGGATGAAAGGAATCAATTTTTAAAAATATTTACAAGCATTCCTCAGTCGATTTCCTCGTTCAATTCTTTTTGAATGCCAACTGCAAAATGACACACTCGGCACAAAGTCTTTTATTTTTTTTTCCGACTGAAGAGATAAATGCCTTTCTCTTCCTGAGATCAGCACCAAAAATGAAAATGCTTGTCATGTTGACCAAACCCAGACACCTTATGGGGAAAAAAAAACGAGTTTTGGCATGAAAGTGAAGTTCAGGTTCTTCACCAGAAAATTCCCAAACCCTTCACACGTGTCGGAGAGGCAGTAGGCCCTGGTCTGCCGGTGACTGCTACTTCAGTGAATGTGAAGGAACATCAAACCTTGCCCTGGCCCAGTTAATACTCCTGGGTGCTCCCTTCCCCGTGAGCATCACAGATTCCAGACTGGCTCGCCACAAAGATGCCACGATTTTTTTGGGGGGGGGAGGGGGCTTGCTAAATCCTTCCTCCCCGTCAAGTCTGACAACTGAACTGCTGCATGCCTTGGTGTAGTGGGAATTTTGCAAGAGAGTCAAAAATATCAAGAAGCAGCAGAAAATTCACAGGAAAAATGCTTGGGAAGGAAGACAGTGGAGCTTTAACCCTCCTATGCTAAGATGCATTCTTGACACAGTTGTCATATCAGTCAAAATCAGTCATATTTCCCGTACGTGTCTGTGTACTGGGGGAAATCAATTGGAAGGCATTTTTGACGGTTTTTGACAGTTAAAACAGAAGGAGGGTTAAGTAATGAGTAACAGGCTGGAAGGTTGTGTAATGACGTTCATAGTAATAGGGTTGGTTGGAGTCATTGCATCAACCCCCTGTGTTCTGTGCAAGTCCTCAAACAATAAACAACCAGTTTACAGGGTTATTTTTCTTAGCTAGCATTAGTTGTACTTGGACATTAATGCTTTAGTGTCCTTTCACAAGCACAAAGGATGCGGCGTGAGATTTTTAATTCTACACTGCATAGGATTCAGGAGGATTTTCATGATCCTTTGTGGCAAACATGCTCGGGAAATTTGGGAGGATGCAAGAACTGTGTAATTAACCAAAGTCACAACTCCGTCTGTTTGAACAAGGGGTCCGTCGGCAGTCGAGGCCCGGGGACGCGGCCCACAGGGCCTCGGGAGTAAGAGGTCCAGCTCGTCGCGGGAGCGCGAGCAGAACAACCGGGAGAGGCAGTCGGCCATCGCCGAGGTGCAGAGAATCTCAGGAGGCCGCCGCTCCAACTCCCGAGAGGACAGAGAGGCCGACATCAGAAGAGGTGAGAGCGCCCTTTGTCTCTTTTAAAGGGCAGAGCTGATGGGTCATTTCACATTTTTTATACTTCATCTTAAGCAGTCAAATAGCTTAAAGTCTTGTGGAAGGTTGTAGCTAGGAGTGCTGTGAAATTGGAGAAAAGGCACATTTCTAGGTCTCAGTTAAAGGTTCATACTTACGTGTACTGCAGGCAAAGACTGTGGTTCTATGCACAGTATGGAGGTACCGAGGCATGCCTTCAAAGCGTTGGCAGAGGGCGAAATCGAGAAGGAAAAAATGTCCAATCAGCACCCGGTATTGGATCAGTACGATGATGGCAGCTGAACATGGTACAGGTGGCGACCATTATGCTGCGTTATAAAGAATTGGCACTTTATTTGCTGGGAAAGGATCCTCACTGTGGAGATTGACCGTACACAACGTACGGTGGCCGACTAAGCCTTTATCTCTGGCTAACTGTGTGGTCACATGGTACTTAGACATCTTTTGATGAACCCTGTGCTGCCATAGGCTAATCCATGAAGCCTCACCCCGTAATTTTTTTTACCCATCGCACCTGTGATTTGTGTCTGAGATGCATGAACAAACGTCCGACATGCGTGTACAATGCACGCGGCTGCACTTTGCAGTGTAGCATCAGAGAGGAGCACTCGTTACTCTGCCCATGCCCCGCAGTGGGCGGGGCTAACGGGACCGGTCCATTTGACGCGCTGTCTTTGACGGTTACAGTTAAGCCTGAGCCAGCCCCAGTTCCTGCCCTTGCCAGAGAGCCCGTCAAGCCTACCGCTGCGGCTACGGCCTCGCCAGAACTCAGCGAGGAGGTCTTTGAGAAGAAAGCGGTGGGCACCATTGAGGAGTACCTCAACATCAGAGATATTGGGGTAAGTCATCAGCTTCCTTTGGGGCGTTCTGGATTGTATTGTGGCGGGGGATCTTTCATGTTTGTTTTTTTTCCAAACAGGTGGAGAGCTATTTTAAAAAGTGGGAATTAGGCTCTGCCATAGTAACACTTTTTTATCCCATTGGTGTGATCCGAGATTCGTACCTCATGTACGTGGGAATGCGAATTGGTTTTTGGACCCAACCCGAATGCGTTGTTTTTCCCAGGAATTAGTTTAGTGCTTTCCTGCTGCCTCTAAAACTGACCATTTCTTCTTCATCTTTCTTCACTGTTCTGTTTTAATTGATGCGCACACTTTTGCATAAACATGACTGAAATGAAGTACCAGTAAATATAGGCTGCGTCCGAATCTCTTGTCTAGAGCTAGGTCTAGGTCCTTGCTCCATTGGAAATGCGTGGAGACGCGTTGACGATAGACCTAGCCGTAGCTCTGGAAGCCCGTTTCGGACACAGCCATTGTTTGGAATGGGAGCAGTGTAAGCCATTCCTTTGGCCAAAATTGTGGCCAAATGCAAGTCTTTGAGGACAAACGTGATTGCAATGAATTTTTGTGTGCGAGTGGCCCTGGCTGTAGGCCCGTGAAGTGAAGAACCAAGCCTTACTGAAGGGATATTGTGTGCAAGATATTACAAACGCTTGATGGTACCCGAAATAGTGCGGGGGGGGAATACCGTTGGTATCTAGATGTTAACGTGCAATAAATATGACTTCTCAGTTTCATTGTAGTCCCCTCCCCCAAAGAAATGAAGTTTCGTTGTTATTTTCAACGACCTTGGGGTTTTTTGGGGGTCTCTGTCTTTTGCTGACAGGAAGCCATCGAGTGTGTGAACGACCTTCAGTCGCCAAACCTGATGCACGTCTTTGTCCGCTCTGCTATGAATTGCTCGTTAGAGAAGAGCCCCCAGGCCAGGGATCTGGTGGGCTTGCTGTTCTTCAAGCTGCTGAAGGCTGGCCATCTCTCCAAGGAAAAGTTTGTGGATGGGTGAGTGGCCGCTGTGACAGGGTTAGGGTAAAAGTTAAAAGTGATACAAAACCTTTCCAGTTTGTTGTGTCCAACTATCCGAATTTAAATTTCATCCGCAGAGTCGTAGGGGGCAGAGGGATCGATCTTGATGATCATGCCTGTAAACAGAACCTGTCGCACTAATGTGAGAACCTTGGAATGTCTTTTTCCCCGTTTAGTGTCAAAGAGGTACTAATGTATGCCGATGATATGGCATTGGACATCCCCTTAATCTGGAAGTACCTCGGGGAGATCATAGGCTCCACGTTCCGGGACAACTCACTGTCATTGACGCTGTTGGCAGACATGATGGACCCCGTCCGGATAGTGGACAAGGCCGGGGACCTCATGGCCGAGATTCTTTTGATGGTTGTCAAGTTAAATGTAAGTGGGCCATTTTGTAGTCACGGCTGCCTGGGGATGCAGTCCATCATTTGTCATTTATGCATTTGTCATTTAAGGCAACAAAAGTGCATTAGACTTCACGTTAAATTGCACCTTTTGAAATTTGAAGTCAGTAAATGCTGTATTTCTGAGAAAGCAATATTCTAGGATCTTGGATTTCAAATCCAAAGTTTCAGTCATGTTTTTGAATTGTACCCAAATACAGCGTCCGGGACACGCTCTCAGTCAACCAACTGCAGCTCTGCAATGCTGTGCACTGAACCGGCAAATTATAGCAACCGCATGCGCATGTGCGATGTAAACATGTCAGCAAAGTGTTTACACTTGAATGCAGTTATTCACATTGAAACAAACTATCAACGGCAATTTTAAAAAAATGCAGCTTTGGACAGGTCTTGAAATTGCCTTCTTTCATTTTTTTGTCTCAAAATGACAGCTTACCGGAAAGAGTGAGCTTAGTCCCAAAACTTTCTTTAAACCCAATTATGCCTGTCAACAATAATTGTTTCTGTATGCAAATGTGGGACTGCACCTGTTAATGATAGACTCTGGGTTTTTCAAAAGCATCAGTGGCATGTATGTTTTTAGCGCTGTGGTTGAGTTCAGTACTTGTGTGCACGACTGGAAGTCATTTGTCCCTTCTGGTGTTTTACAGGGTGCTAATGTCGTGGCAGAGATGTGGCAGTCGTCAGGCTTCAAATGGGACATGTTCGTTCCCATCGGGAAAGACGTCAAAGAATTTGTAAATAATAAGGTATGGAAATTACACTGAAAAATAGTTTCATGTAGTTTTTCCTTTTCATTCCATGCCCACTGGGCAGTGTCTTGACTTAATCACATCCGAAACAATAAATGGTGAAGAACCACATGCTACAAAATGCCTCTTTGTATTTCTGTTGTGCCGAGTCCCTTTGATGTCAGCGTTCTGACAGCAGTCGGGTTTAAGAACAGCAGACACCTATAACATATATGGATGCTGGGGAACTTCATGTTTACCATTCATTACGAGGAGTATTTTGTAGCTTCAAGCAAGGTTGAGGTTAAATCACATGAACAATAAGTCTTCAATACTGTGCATAGCTGTGTCATTGGCTGTCATTGACGTTGTACAAGTATGAAAATAAATGTGAATTTGATTGAAAAAAGTTTGGCCTCGGCTGTTGGCTGCTCTTGTCGCAGAAATTAGACTTCACGTTAACCGCTGTAAGTAGCAGCACGACAAACAGCGGCGGGGACGCCAACGCCAATAACGTTGTGACGGACGAGGAGTGGGTCAGGTTGATCCGGCGGGAGCTGGGCTGCATTCTGACCAGCGCCGAGAACGTCAACAACAGCGTTTTCGACTGGATCCAGGTGAGACATTGTACCCGCTGCTGGTAGGGGCAGGGCATTTGTCGGTCACTTCGGTCAATTAATCAAAGTGTCGATTCGATTACATCTTTTGATTTGATTTGTCAAAACCAGCTTTGTGAAAATGAAGGCTTTTCTTTCAAACGTTGCAAGAGAAGGCTGACGACTCTGAAACTTGCAATGTATCTTAATAAAGCTACTGTCGGGTCGACCTGTGATTCTCTTGTGCAATGACAGATTCATCATCATCAAGTGAAACACTAGTGCTCAGCCTGGGAAAGTCACGGAATTATGTGAAAATGTCTTAAAGTAAAAAAAAGTTGTGGAATTTTTCAAACACTGTGTGTGATTTGTATTATCAGAAATAAGTGCATAAATACGTGATTTTTTTATTCGCAATTTTGAAAGTCCAAATAGTCCCAAGAAATTGCATTATTGGGTCATGGATTTTCATAATTTGGTCATGGAAAAGTCATGGAATTTAATAATTGTCCTTGAGGCGTAGGAAACCTACAAGTGCAAACAATTGGTTACTGCGAAACAGGCAGCGTCTTGACACCCATTGATCGCAAGCGTGTTCATGTCACCCATGTAGCATCATGCAGATGGACGGCGATTGTTCCTTGCTGGTTAGGAACACTTTCAGTCATGACCTCAGAATTTTGACGGCCAATCTAAGGTCGCAACAGAATAGAAGTTGCCTTGATTGATTTGTTGGGGACAGTTGTAGCTCAAGTGCGGTTCGGTCCTGAAAAAAAGTCAGTCACAGACTAAATTATTTCATCACAAGGTTGACAAAGATCATGCATGCAACTTTGCCCAAGACCAACTAATTTCCTCTCTTATTTTCCTTCCATACCGTCACAAAGTGGAAAGTTTCAAACTAATCAGAATGAACCCTCTTCTGGAGTTGACCATATTGGATTTGAAAGCGGTGTCTGCTTCTCATTTTTGAATCCGCGGGCATCAGTGGAGGAATAAAACCAAATATCCTGACACGTTGTTACCTGTAGTCTGATGAATGAACTGAATCTTTGATAAAACGTGCCTTATTATTGCAAGACTGACAGGATTGGAACCCCACGAGAACCCCAAAATAGTCTGATACCATCCCATTCAACAGTTCACAATGTAGAGCACAGATACGAGGAACAAGATCATAAATGGCTTTACTCCGGATCGAGATCCATTCTTTGCCCATTTTCTGCCTCTCTACAGAAGCACCTGAATATTGGGGCCAGCCAGGAAAGACAGAGGTTATTTATACGTGCCTTAGTGACGGTGGTTGTCCGAAGCACAATACAAGGCGAGTACAAAAACGTCGTGGTTTTGATCTGATATCGCTCTTCGTAAGTAAGATTATACGAAAAGAACTGCCTCATCCCGTTAGGTTCTATTAGGACTTGGGTACGGTCAACCGGGGTAACTTTGGCAGTCTGTTCCAATAACAAATTATTTTTAATTGTTGATTGGATATGGTTGTCACATGAAGCATTAGGTCTAATCTAGTAGTAGCAGCCATCCATCCACTTCTGATTGCAAGCTAGAGTTTAATTAAGTGCAGCCAACGTTACCATGTGGTTCAGGGCAACTTTGGCAGGTTGCTGGAAATTAATGAAAATCTACAAGAAAGGATTATAAGAAGTTTTTACTCGCGTAAGATCCTTCAGGCCAAGCCTCCAGCAGTATTTTATGATAAAATTACTTTGGTAGAATCATTTGAGAGAATTGTATATCATTTATATTGCGCATTGTGAAGATATGACGACTACAACCTAGGGGTGTGGCTTGTGCCAAATTTACCCGGTTTACAGTAGATGAGCACATTTGGTAGATATTGGGGTTTGAATTGGTTGGTACCGTGTTGCAGAGTTTGGAGTTTCAACTGGTACTCTGATACCCACGTCACTGTTGAAAATTGCTGGTGCATGGCTGCAGATATTAGGGCTTAGACTGGTACCCAGTACACTGCTGAAAATAGCCTGTGCCTTGTCACAGATATCAGGGTTTCAACTGGTACCCCGATACCCGATACTCTGCTCAAAAAATGGCTGGTACACAGTTCTGTTGTGTCAGTTTAATTAACCCCTTCGCACCGGGAACTGTTGACAGCCGCGGCTTTGTGTGAGGATTAGTGCATGCCACACATACAGTCTATTCACCATGCAGCTGCTGGTTCAGTGGGGCCTGCTGATGGACAAAGGCCTCCATTCAGGGCATACCACAGCCCAGCAGTCACGGTCTAAAGAATTACCGGCGCGAAGGGGTTTAACCAAAACTGTTTGCACATTCCAAAAGAACCTGTCGTAGCATCTCTCCAAAATTCCCCAACTGTTGGCTTTTGCCTTCATTTTATTACATGAAATTTTTTTCCTCTCATCCTCCCTTTAGGAGAAGCTGAGAGCTGTAGAATGAACCATGATCTACTTACCACCCGGATGTCCATTCTGAAACGCTACATCAACAACGACAACTTCCTTGAACTCCAAGCGCTCTACGCAGTACAGGCCTTAAACCAGAGCTTAGAAAATCCCCCCAGTAAGTGATAAGGGTCTCTGCCCTCCTCCCGACCCGCTTAAAGAGAATATGTTCTGCTAAGCAGGAAAAATGAAACCACTATGTGTAATAGGCATAGTTTAATCATTAAAGACACTTTGTTATGTAATTCTTCACGACAGCCGTTGGAAATGCACCTTTGTGATTCAATTAACCTTATTTTGTAAGACTTGATTTGCTGTTTTAAAGATACTGTAGTGCCTTCGGGATTTAATTCATATTTCCGTATTCATAGGAAAACTTTTGCATCATTTGACAGTGAAAACTTCAGTGATTTGCACCAAAAAATCAGCACAAACATTTCGTTTTCTTCGGGGATTCTTTGATGTGCAGGGAGACGGCGATAAGCCAACAAGAAACCCTTTTTCAGAAATATTTTCACTGGGCAAATTTCAAGTTCAGAAGTTGAGCAGAGAGACATAAAACTGTATGTTCACTTCCCCGAACGACATCACAGCATTAGAGCTCTGTCTTGTCCCAAAAGGCATGGACGATTTCAAGTGTGTAAAAAAGGGAACTTGTCAATGCACCAGCCCCAAAAGCGTATCTATTAGGTTTCTTGAATTTTAAGGCAGATTGTGGATCAGGAAAGAAATTAGCGCAGGAGGAAAGAAAAATCATCGTCTGGTCCCTTTGATGTTTTCTTTTCTGATGGTCTGGCAATTCTCCCACTTGCAGGACTACTAGGACACGTCTTCAATGTCCTCTACGACGAGGATGTCATCCCCGAGGAGACTTTCTACGCCTGGCAGAAGAGTACAGACCCCAACGAGGCCCTCGGCAAGGGTGTGGCCCTGAAGTCCGTTACCAGCTTCTTCGATTGGCTACGAGACGCGGATGAAGAGCCCCGCTAGTTTTAAAAAAAAAAGCACCCCTCCAGAAGTTAATTGGAAAAAAAAAACAAATTGCCTGAGCTCTTCCTATCAAAAAAAGAAAAAGGACAGGTGAAGTTGATGTGACAGGAGTGAGCAAAGATCGGGAGGTGTTGGTGGCAGGTGGATGCGTGTATCTCTGAAATGATTTATGCCTTGTTTTACAGTGACCGTCTCGCTTCCAGATTTTGTAAGCGTTGCCAGTGGTTGGTGCGAGGGACACCATGTATGACTCGGGACACGACTTTTTGCCAGTTGATAGAAAGACTGGCCACTTCACTAGGCGAGTTTGAGTGTTTGCCGGCCTCTGTACTGTGTGCACTTAGACTGTAAAGGCAGCAAAAGAGACTGTTGGCTATTTTCGCGCCCTCCTTTTTTTTTTAACCGCACTGCTACATGTCCCCTCTGCAGCGGTCACACTGGAAGACAGATGCTGTTTGATCCCACGGGATTTGCATGCAACCACGACAGTTACGACTCGGCATCGGTTTTGCAACTTTTTTTTAACTGACCTGGTGCCCCATGCCGGGCAATTAACCGAGACGCCGGCTGGGTACCAGTGGAGATGTTGTGGCCTTCTTCACTGGTTACCCACCTTGTGTCGTGTGTTCTGGACCTTGCTGGGTACCAATCAAAAGCCTGACTAGCAAGTTGCCGCTCACCCCATCTTCACATTGTGCTTTTCGTGTATTTGTATCTTTCTCGCTTCAAAAGCATCCCAGAATTTCACCAGAAAGTAATACAATTTTAAACCATCGTTTATGAAACTTCGTATGTGGCATCCCCTGAGCTTTTTTATGGACAAGAGTTAAAAATAAAAATTAAAAAAAAAATTACAATTTTGAGATAAAATTGAAAAAAGGAAATATGTATGTAATGCAGCACTGTGGATGCATAATTTGACAAGGTTTCTGTTCCTTTTTTGTTTTCATTTCGACTCGTTTCCTCTGTTATGTTGGCAGTCAAATTTGACTGGAGAATTTGTTATATTAAATTATATTTGATTTCTTGGACGGTTTTACCCAGAATCTTAATGTGCAGTTCACCATGGAAGACGATTGTACAGTAGACAATAGAGTGTTTCTTGCTGCCATGAATGTACCATTACAAAAACAGGGGTGTTCACGATATTTTCTTTTTTTCTCTCTCCGGACAAGCACACAGATGTAAGTTTTCTGTGACTCCCCTCATGTAGTGTTTCAGAACGCTTCACACGACAATTTTCACAAATGTGGCGGTTCTTTGTGTTATCAATTATTTGAAAGCCTGTCACACGGGACCCTACGTTAATGCTAACCATTACCCCAAAGAAAAATGTCATGTACATTGTCGAGTTTCTGGAAATGCCCTCCCCCTGTAATTGTCCATTTTGTGGTGAGGTCTTTTACTAATTAATTGTAGTCTTTTTCAGTATACATAATCGCCTTTCAGAGGATGCCTTTTGTATAAAATAAAATGTTGCACTCAAAACTGTCACCTTGTTGGGATTGTTGTTGGGTGAAATGAACAGTTCCCATCATTTTCAACATACAAAGCAAACTATAGAACTAGTCACTCTCCTTGAAGATTCATTCGTGGCATATTTAACTAGTAACCTTTGACCTGATGTTATACAGTGATGCATATTCATCGTTTGTGTATTCATGACCCAGTTCAATGCATATCGGATTTAAAACCAGCAAAAGAGCAGTTGGGAACCTATGTACACTGCAGAGAGTTTTTGCCCAAGGTTATTTGGCGGCTTGGAACTTTTTGCTGTTTCAGGAGGGAAATGAGGTGACTTAAAATGACAAAAAAGAGAGAAAAACATTTCAGAGAAAAGTGCTGCAGTGAGTGGTGAAAGAAATTCACGACAAGAAAACTTAAAGAGAAAAATGGATATATTATTTTAGAGTTTTATGCGGGTTCGTTGGATGCTGTTGATTTGTTATTTTTTCACTATTCTTTCTTTATAAATTGTCTTGTCTCATTATTATATACATATTGTGAACTATTGCTACCGAAGATATACGAATCGGGGATGCCACTGTATTGTATACCATTGCGAGTACAGAAACAGCTCCTGCGAAGAAAAAATGTAAAACGACATTTTTGAAGTGAGCTATTAAAAATCAACTTTTTGATCTAAAAAATAAGCACGCGGTTTATATATGCGAAGTATATACGAGCTGAACTGCTCGAGTAAGAAATTAATCGAGGGAGGGGTACATTTCTTTTCCTCCTCTTTTTCTGCTTCAGGTGAATTCGAAATTGATCGACAAATAAAATATATGCAATTTCAGTTGACTAGTGTAGAGGGGTGGCTATGACATTGTGTACCCGTAAAGGAGGCGGGATGGACAAGTTTCGATTGGAGAAGACAAATATATATATACAATTTAAAAAAATACTTGTCTTTGCTTTCCTTTTTCTTGGAGTACTTTCCTTGCATGTGTTGGAACCTGTTCAGTACTCCGACTGCGCGTGCCCAACATGAAGTGCATCCGAGGTCATTCGGGAACAGTAGTGCGTGTCCACTCGAGGACCGCCCTATCAGTTTGGCCTACTTCCGCGCACGATTCGCTCTCGAATAACTGCTTTCTTGGAATCTCGAATCGGCTCTTAAAAGACCAACTACCGCTAAGAGCGTACACAACTCTTCGTCCGCGTGAGGTCATGTACCTTGTAATTTTCGCGATCCAAAATGTTAGTCTTGCTTTTTAAATTGCACATCTGCAGTCGGCATATTTAATTAACTAGGATCAATTATAGCGACGTTGGATCGACTTGTAGTTCTTTTTTGCATTCATTTGAAAGAGGATCAGGTATTCTTATGGGAGTTCAATGGCCTTCATTTTTTCAAAAGATGATTGGGCCGTATGTCCCAGGGGATGGAAGTGCATATATACCCCCCCCTCTTCTGTTTGACCTGAGGGGATGAACTGTTAGACCACCTCGGCACTTTTCCTTGGTAAAGTGGAAAATCGGGGCTTCGGGACTTTTTGAAACTTCTCAACAGCCAAAAGTGTTCAATTGCAGTGAAAAGGGGAGGGAAATTACAAAAAGCTTTGAATACGCCGTTTCGATGTATGTTTCGGTATGCATATTAAGATTTACTTTTGTGTCATGGTTTGCGCTCCCTGGTGTCAGCCCCCCCCCCATTTTCAAATTTCCAATACCGGGCAGTTTTTCATTTGAGTCATGTCCCAACCTAGGTCTTACGACGCCGCTCTTGAATGATTTCCCTTTGAATTGACGAGTTTTTAATGAATATACATGTACGTATGTGGTTGAAGTTAAAGGAGACGCCTAACAAAAAAAAACCCAAATTGACGTTGATTTCAATTCAGCCACCTTAAAATGCAGACAAATATCAAATGGAAACGAATGAAGTTAAGGAGATAGGGTAACGTTGTCGTCCACATACTTATTTCATTAAGGGTCCAATGCCTTTCCCATCTTTAAAAGCAATCTAAATCTATCCGCCTCGAGCAGAAGCCCCCCTCATCTGTTGAAATGAGCCATATTGGTTGACACTGTTCATTTTGTTGGCAGCGATGCGGCCGCAGCGCGTGCATTTCCTGATGTTTGTGGACCAGCGGAGTTGTCCGACCAAAGGAGCTTGCGTTGCTAAGAAACTTGCTCCCTCTCCTGGTCCATCTCGAGGCTCATAAAAGCAAGGTTAACGCACCGCGCCTTCAACCAACAACCGGCCTAATGGTCCCCTACGTTGTTTGCGACTTGTATTTTCTCACGGTTTCTGTTACTTGCACTGAACCCTGGGTTACAACTTTAATGAACAAAGTTTCCATTACGATCATTGCATTGCATTGTGGCCTGCCGCAGTGCAGATCCCAATGTCAGATATTTTATCACGAAATGGGAATAAATTGGATTGCTTGATAATTGGACGAGATGCCCCCACCACTGATAGAACGGACAATTTAAGAGTTTTTTATTGTTATTATCTCGAATAGCTGGTTGGTCTGCTCTGTATTCGGCTCCGATAAAACGTGCGTCCGGAGAATTATTTCCATAGACAATGTCGGATTTCGTTCAGTCGCGTGCCGCCTTGTCATCGCGCGGCGAGCCGGCCGCCATCAGATCCCCAGCGTGTCAATATTAATCCAACGGGATTCACAAGGGCCGACCTCCCAAGTGAGTGGATTTTACAGAGAGCGACAAATCGGTTAGCCGTGGCTGCACGGGGTTTGTTATTAATACACTTATCTCTGATTAATGCGTGCGGCGTGCCACAGTCAAAGCTGATTGAATTATCCCGGGAAGATCCATTTTTTTTATTAGTTCCGATTTACCCTTTCTTTGCCCCCTTGTATGCATCATTACCACCACTGACGGCAGTGCCGAATAGACTCTGAAGTGGTGCTCATTCGTATGTCTCATCTCGTGGCATATGCCCGGGCTAGAACAGCAAATGGCGCCTTGCAGGCCTGGGGGTATATAAGCCTACATACCGATCCAGCTGGGAGTCGAAAATTCACTTGAAACGATTGCGCTCAACTTTTGCAAATTTGCAGACGGGATTTTTGATCTGACGTCACAATTGCGCGTTTCTGCCTCTCTAAAGGCCAAAGAGTGAATAACTCACTCTCAAAAAGAGCGAGTCCCTTATAGGCCTAAATCCCCTCCAAAATAGTGAAAAACACCCCAAAGTCTGGAGTGAAAAACCACTCTAGAAGAGTAAAAAACACTCTGAAGGATCAGAGGAGCCATTTATTTAAAGGACAGCTCTTTTGTTTTCAATCTTTGGAGTGGTTAAATATAAGCTACTCCCTTTTTGAGACTGAGTTTTTCACTCGTTTGTTTACTTTCACGCCAAGTATACAGATCTTCTTCCCTCTCTCCAGGTTTTGTTTTTATTTCCTCTACAAAGTGTGGGAGTACAGCCCTGCAGACGAGTTTACGGGACTCTTATTACACGCTCAGTTAATTTTGACGATGATTTTGCTTAAGACCAGTCCATACTTCTCTCTAAATCGGAAAGA